AGACACTGTTTTTTTTTTTTTTTACAAATGTTAACACAGCTAATGCTCCCGGTGGGGCACACTCTTCTGACTCTGATGGGAGAACCCAGGACCACAGCTGGCGGGAACGGGAGTCGAACCTGAGCACGCTGGGCGCTCTCTCAGGCTCCCCGCCTTTTCACCAGGCCCTCACCTGCGCGGCCTCCGGGAACCGGCAAGCGTCGTCACCGCCGCTAAGTCTGCGGTACAAACCCTTTCTTCTCTTCCGAGCAGCTTTCCCCACCCACAACCACCACTCACACGACCCATAGAGTTCACTCGCGCCTCGCCCCGTGACGCTCGGCTCCCTGCACACCTGCGCGTGGCCCCGGCCGCCAGCACCACGCCAACCCCAGGGTATTATTTTTGCGATGCCGTGAGCATTTTCGGATCCATGGAGACCTCGAGTTGGAAATCTGAGGCAGGTGACCAGGCTTAACTGTACATTTTTTAACATTTATTTCAGTGACCAGCTCATCATAAAACAACAACAAAAACAACTTGACAAGTTAACTGCCCCAAACGACACAGTAATGCATCGGCCTCTCTTCTCTTTCCACCAAACTGCGCGGGGCACCGACAGAGGCCGCAGGAAGTGCTTCCGGCTCCGCGACCTCCGCGTCGCCTGCAGCAGCCCCACCGTTCCCTCGCTTCCGAGTCCTCTCGCCGGCAGACGTGTTAACAGGGGAACTCACCAGGCCTCGGTACGGAGGTTTCGGGTGAGGGGTGGGGACTGTAAATTGCTGCCTTTCAGTTCCGGGACAGAAACCGCGCTCCAAAGTGCTTGAGTCACCAACCGCCGCGGTGACTCGCAGAGCCGGAAGCCGCGCCGAGCCGGAAGCCCCCGTCCACTGCCGGCGGCGCGTTGTTTCCTGTGAGCCCGCGGGCGCCAGGGACTACAACTCCCGGCGTGCTCTGCGACCGCCAGAATTAACCCTTGAGCGCCGGGGACCGCGGTGCACCCCGCCCCCGCCCCCGTCCCCGTCCCTCACCCGGACCCCGCAGGGTGAGTTTTGCGGGACCAGGGAGGGCCTTTTTCCTTTAAGGGTTGGGTGTGTGTGTGTATGCATGCTATGGCTGTATTCCCCGCTGGAGGAATGATTCCTTATTTTCCAGAAATAGGACAATTTGCTGTAATGAGATGAGTCGAGCTTTTGCAAATGGGAGACCCAGCATCGCTGAACCCCAGGGCCTAAATGAATTCATTACTGTCTTCCTTTAAGAAGGCTACTTTAATCCTTTTCTCACCCCTTGCACCCCCAGAACAAAAGTATCCAGCAATCCCTCCCCACTCTCAAACTCCCCCGCCCCCCACGACCCTGGCCCAGCGCCCCCAGCAAGGTTTGTGACCTGGGCCCCTGAGGTGGGGCTTTTATTATTTCTTTGGTTGCGGGGGTGAGCAACTCAGGGCACGCACAGGTGCTCCCACATCATTCTGGATTAGAGAACGTAGGCCCTTTGTCTCCCAGAACCGGCGGTAACCCCCAGGTGCCACCAGGGGGTCCCTGCAGGTTCAGCCAGCTTCCTGCCTTTTGTCAGACTTGGGCTTGGGATAAAAGGTCTCTTCGTTGGAAGGGTGGTAGTGGGTTAACGTTAAACCCGACCTTCACCCCCACCCCACACAACACTGGGCACCACCGAGGCAAGCGGAGTCCCCCTCCTCTTTCTGTTGCTATTCTTTCTTGATCCCTTGCACAGTTCCAGTTCTGGGCTGAGCGGGGGCCCACAGATTACACATATCAGAGATTATTAGAACAATGTGGAGTCAAGTATCACTGCTGCTAACCCAGGGTCAGGGAGGAGTGGCAGGGGTGGGGGTGACACTGCTTGATTTTTTCACCTTTCACCTAGACCCTCCTTTAACTTACCCAATTCATGCTAGGCTCCCTGCCCCCGCCCTCCCTCCACCCCTATCTGGGCTGCTGGATTCCCTCGTTTGCTTCATCCCTATCTCCGTGTGACTGGCAAGAAGCCGGTCCTCACCCTGGAGGTTAACTCCCAGATTCTGGGCAGTCTCCGGCTTCCTCTCCCTGGCTGCCCAAGGGGAACATTGTTTCAGGCAGCTCTTGGGGAGGGGTGAGCAGAAAAAAGAAAACCTTGGGGCAGGAGTCCTGAACCCTGGGAGGCCAGGGGAGTGAGGGCAGGCAGGCATATCTCTCTTCCACCTCATCCTCGCCACCACCGCCAGCTGGCTCCCTGCTCCTGCCCCCGCCTCTTGACATCCCAGACTCCCTGGCTATTTAAACAGAGATGGGTGCCCCCATCGGCACATTGTCCTGTGGCCACTGGACATCATGCCTCCCAAGAAAGATGTTCCCGTGAAGAAACCAGCAGGGCCCGCCCCAGGGCCTGCCGTCTCCAAGCCAGCTGCCAAGCCAGCAGCGGGGGCTCCTCCAGCCAAGCCCAAGGCTGAGCCTGCTGTCCCAGCAGCCCCCGAGAAACCCCAGGAGCCCCCAGTGGATCTCTCCAAAGTGGTGGTGAGTCCCTGGAAAGTGAGGCTAGGATCTGGAGGGGGTGGGTCAAGGGTGGGATACTGCCCCTGGGGACTAGCAGGTGCCTAGAAGGCAGGGAACCCGGGAGCACTGGGATGAGGTTGGAGTTTTCCCTGTGCGCCCCATCTGGAAGCACTCAGGCTTATAACGCCGCTGTGGTCTTTGCTGTTCTCTCCCTGGAAGCTATTACACATGTGTGTATGTGTACATTCACCCGCTGTCGGTGGCAGGGACCCTGAGATGAGGCGCACCTGGGGGGCTCTGAGGACAGTTTCAAGGTGAAGGGAGAGAGCTGTTCCCTGCCTCTGGCTGCAGCTCTGAACCCCAGGAGGGGAGGCTGAAGAGGGCAGACTTGTTAGACAATCACAGCTGGGGGCCAGGGGTAAATTTAGCCTTTGTTCAGCCCCCAGTTATGTGAGGGATGCAGGGCTCAGGGCAGTGGAGGGAGGGGAACAGGTGGCATGGGATTAACCCTGTTCCCAGGAAACCCTCCCCCCTGTAATTCCTCCTCTTGGGATTCTCCCAAGGCCTAAGGCTGGGAATGGGACAGAGGTGGCTGCCAGTTGGTGGGGAGGAGGCTCAGAGGGACTGCATAATCCTCGTCATCTCTCCTCACCTGCTCTCTTCCACAGATCGAGTTTAACAAGGATCAGCTGGAGGGTGAGGAGAAGCTGGTTTCCTGAGCCACTGTCCAGTCCCAAGGCCCCGGTCAGATCCTCTTGCTGTTCCCCTAACCCCGGCCCTGACCTTGAAGCCTGCCACATAGTTCTTTTTTCCTCCCTGGCTCTTCCCAGCTGTCACACATAGTTGCTGAGCCTGCCTCTGTCTGGGAGTGATGGGAGTCCTGGACTACAGTGATCCCTCCTTGTGTCCCCCAGAGTTCAAGGAGGCCTTTGAGCTGTTTGACCGAGTAGGGGATGGCAAGATCCTGTACAGCCAGTGTGGAGACGTGATGAGGGCCCTGGGCCAGAACCCCACCAACGCCGAGGTGCTCAAGGTCCTGGGGAACCCCAAGAGTGACGGTGAGGGGATCCTTGGGACAACGCAGGTTTTTCTGTGGCTAGATGTCGGTAAGGTGACAAAGGATGCTGGGCTGGATCTCGGGACCTGAGAAACCGTCAGACACCAGGCAGAAAAACATCCCGAATGCTGAGCACGATGAAAGGTGGTGTGGGAGGGGCCCCGGCGACATCACACTGACCTGTCTCATGCTTCCCTCCAACCGCCAGAGCTGAAGTCCCGGCGTGTGGACTTTGAGACCTTCCTGCCCATGCTCCAGGCAGTGGCCAAGAACCGGGACCAAGGCTCTTACGATGACTACCTGGAGGGGCTTCGGGTGTTTGACAAGGAGGGAAACGGCAAAGTCATGGGAGCAGAGCTGAGACACGTCCTCACCACCCTGGGTGAGGCAGGGACAGAATTCTATGAGGGCTGGTGGGGGAGTGGGGGAGCAGTGGACCAGGGTAGGCAGAGCCAGGGAGAGGATTACTGCCCTGCTGGGCAGGAGATGGAAGGGCTGGGGACAGGACCTGAAGGGCTGGCGCTTCCAGAGGCTAACGTGCCTCCCACAGGGCAGAGAACGGGAGACAAGTGGGAGACGTGTGCCCGTCACCCCTGGGAGTCAGTTCCCTTGTCCCTAGAAACTCCCATCAGTAGCAAGGCACTTTGTTACGAGTCGAGATGCAAAACAAGAGGCTTTACCGCGACAGCGGGAGGATGTCCTTGGGGGGAGTGGCTCCGAGCAAGTCTCCAGGGTGGGATAAGAGGTGCCACCCAGAAGAGTGTGGCTTGGGCCCCTGAGGGACCGCGCCAGGGCGGGGCTCCAACGCCGCCGTGTCTGGGGTGCAGGAGAGAAGATGACTGAGGAGGAGGTGGAGACTGTCCTGGCGGGACATGAGGACAGCAACGGATGCATCAACTACGAGGGTGAGGGGCCGGGGCGGGAGGGGCCCTTCGGGGGCGGCTGGGCGCACCCTGGGTTACCTAGAGTCGGGCGCGGTGTCCGCAGGCCCGGGTCTGAGGACCCTCTGCCTCCTCTCTCCGCAGCTTTCCTGAAGCACATCCTAAGCGTCTGAGCTCTACAGGTAGGGCCCTGCGACCTGAGGGCCGAGTCTCCCCCGCCTCCCGCCAGCTCAGAAAGCCGCGGACTGCGCGGGCGTCAGAGCTTGGCAACTTTCATTTTTTTCCCACAGATCCCGCGGGGCCAGATACTGATTCCCCCCACCCCCTGCAGGAGGAAGCACGTTCCTGCCACTAGGAGGCCACCTATTGTTTCAAAATAAAGACACGGTTCCTCCCTCGGTCTCAGACTGGTTTTCTTTGTGGGGTTGGAGGGGAGTGACGCCTTTCCCCACTTCCCGGTACCTCATCCTCCGATGTTCTGGGAGTTAGGAGGAGCAGATCGCTGCGCCCGACCCCCCACCCGCTCGAGCGTCTGCGGGCTCAGGTGCGAGCGACCCCGCCCGTCTCATTACTAATGCAGTAATGTAACCGCCCGAGCCCGGGGCGGGGCGCCCATTGGCTGGCCGGCCCGGGGTGACGTCATCAGGGCGTACTAAGACTAGGGTTGGGCCCGGAGCCGGAGCCATTACTGCAGGAAAAGATCCCGCAGAGCTGAGCGGTCAAGATGGTGGGGCCCGGGGCCTGGGAGCCGAGTGGGGTTTGGGACGAGGCGGGCAGCCGGGGGCAGGGGACGAGGAGCAGGCCAGGGTAGCGGGCGAAGGGGATCTGGGTGGGTTGGAAAGCCTGGGGTCCTGGTGCTGCTGGGGAGCGGAGCCCCAGCCTGCAAGAGGAGTTTGTGGGACGGGGATGGAGCATGGGGCGGGGGGGGGGGGGGGAGGTTGGAGTTCGGGTGCTGACCGCTACCTCTTCTCCGAGCAGTGCGACTTCACCGAGGACCAGACGGCAGGTAGGTCATTCTCTGGCTCCAACTGAGGTCATCTTCAGGGAGAAGGACACTCCCTCTGGCTCCTAACCCCAAACTGTTATCTCTTTACCGCCCCCCACCCCCACCCTCGGGAGAGTATCCCTGGAGTCCCTTCTCCCTTCTTCCGGGTCCTCTGTTTCCTTTTCTCACTTTCTTCCTCACTCCCCTTCTACTCTAGATCTGAGCCCCAAGCACTGGGTGAGTTTTAGGTGTGGGTATGTGGTCACCTAGTGCCTGCTGTGTGTGGGGTTTGGGGAGGGTCTGCGTGCCTCTGCTGTCCCTTAATCACTACATCTGCCTCTTCTCTCCTCCTTTAACTCTCCCTCCCTGCTCTCCCCACCCCCGGCTTGAATCGTGCAGATTGTGAAGGGCAGTGACCTGATTATTTCCCTGAAGTCGGGGACAGGGGAGTGTGCCCAGGATGTGACTATAGTTTTACTCTGCTAAGGTCTTTGTATGGTGGAAGTGGCCAGCTGGGATGACCCAGGTCTTGGGCTGTTGCTCCCACTTCCTTATAAGGACATGACCCAGACTGGGCGGTGGCAAATTCCTGCCCTGAGTAGTGTTTTAGTAGCGGGAGGCTGGCAGGCCTGCTGCAGGCGGAGGGTGTGTGCACATGGATGTTAGCAGACCACCAAGGGGACCGGGTGGCTGATTCTTCATGTGGGACACTTGAGTTGGGAGGAGAAATGGATCCCTCCTGGGACACTTAGTGTAGAGGTATCTGGTTTCCTCAGCTTGATCAGGGCCCTCCCAAGGCAGGGTTCGGGTTAACCCCCACGGCCCCAGTACTGACCTTCATCTGAATCCTCAGAGTTCAAGGAGGCCTTCCAGCTGTTTGACCGGACAGGCGATGGCAAGATCCTGTACAGCCAGTGTGGGGACGTGATGAGGGCCCTGGGCCAGAACCCCACCAACGCCGAGGTGCTCAAGGTCCTGGGGAACCCCAAGAGTGACGGTGAGGGTCGTAGAGAGCAGCCCCACTCCAATTGAGAGCTTCAGAGGCCCCAAGCTCAAGCAAGTCTTGTCTCGATTAGGAAATCCCAGGTTGCCCCTGCTGAGTCTTTTTTTTTTTTTTAAGATGTATTTATGTGAAAGAGTTGGAGAGACAGAGAGATCTTCCACCTGCTGGTTCACTTCCCAAATGGCTAAGAGCCAGGCTTGGGCCAGGCTGAAGCCATGAAGTCAGGAGCTTCTTCAAGGTCTCTCACATGGGTGCAGGGGCCCACACACTTGGGCCGTCTTCTGCTGCTTTCCCAGGCCACAGCAGGGAGCTGGATTGGAAGTGGAGCAGCCAGGACATAACTGACACCCATATGGGGTGTCGATGTTGCAGGCAGTGGCTCTACCTGCTAGGCCAGAGCGCCCACCTCCCACCCCTGGAGTCATTTGCTGACTGTGATCCTGAGAGTTCCCTCCTGAGAGCTCGTGTGACTTCCTGGCCTGACGTCCCCATGCTTCCTTTATGACAGAGATGAATGTGAAGGTGCTGGACTTTGAGCACTTCCTGCCCATGCTGCAGACTGTGGCCAAGAACAAGGACCAGGGAACCTATGAGGATTACGTTGAAGGCCTTCGGGTGTTTGACAAGGAAGGGAACGGCACTGTCATGGGTGCTGAGATCCGCCATGTCCTTGTCACACTGGGTAAGGCTCTGTCCTTGAGCTGAGCTACTCCTACTCACTCTGAGAGACCTCACTTGTCACCCACCTTAAAAAATGCCTCCTTCCCTCTGCAGGTGAGAAGATGACAGAGGAGGAAGTAGAGATGCTGGTGGCAGGGCACGAGGACAGCAATGGTTGTATCAACTACGAAGGTGAGGGGTCACCTGGGGCAGTCACAGGGGTCAGCTTAGGGATAAGACTTGGGGTTTTTCATATCCCTGGACTTGGGCTCCAAGAGGAGCCAGGAGGCAAAGGGCAGGGCTTGGCCTGGCCCAGCCCAGGGGTTGGGGGAGAGGGTCAGGGGGAGGATGACAGGAAAGGAAGGGGGAACGTGGCACGGAGGGTGGGGAAGGAAGGGGACGTAGACTCCACGGGATGTGTGTCCCCCAGCGCCTGACCCTTCACCCGTGTCCGTGTCTTGTCTTCACCACGAATGTCTCTTCCTTCCTGCAGCGTTTGTGAGGCATATCCTGTCGGGGTGACGGGCCGTGGGGCGGGTACGGCTCCTCCCAGCCTCTCCTCTAGTTGATCGCCCCAGTGTCTCTCTCCAGCCTGTGCTCTCGCCCCTGCCCTCACCCTTACTACCATCTGACTTCTGGCATGTTCCTGCATGGAGCTGGCTAGGAGGGGAGGGGTCCTCAAAGAGGAAGACAGCCTGGGGGAATGGTACCTCCTTCCTTCACACCTGGAACGGGCTCTGAAGTTTCGCTTACAGGGCCCTGGGTGCTGGTGACTGGGAACTCTCAGCAGCCAAACACCAGTCTTGCTTTAGGGTGAGCCTTTGGCCCTAGAGCATGGTGGTTGGCACAGGAGGGGCGAGCCGCCTGCCCCCTCCGTAGCTATAGCTTAATTGTCGTCTCCCCTTCCCTCTGCTGGGGCAGCTTGGAGGTACCCTAACCCGAAACTCTGTCCTCTCCTCCTGCCAGTGGCTGACAGTAGCTGTAGGTGTAGCCAAGACCTCTTCTGCATCTGCTGTGTTCTTGCTGCAGGGTGGGGTGGGGGACTAACAGCCAGAGGGAGGGCAGCTAGGGGCAGGGAGAACCGGTCAGACTCAAGGTGGCTCTCCTGCAAACTGGCCCCAGGTTGGCTGCCGTGGACGTGGCCCCTCTAGTGCTACCTTCGCAGTCTTGCCGTCTCCTGGCCCTGGCGCAGCCCTCCCCAGCCGAGTCCCCAGCTCACTCTGCCCTTCCTTTCCCCAGAGCTTGTCCGGATGGTGCTGAACGGCTAAGGACACTCCCAGAATCCCCAGAGCCCGTGCCTTTCCCTCTGTGAGACTGTATCAGGCTCTCTGCTCACGGCACCTTTCCTGAGCTCCTCTGCCTGTCTGCCGTCCGCACTGACTAAATAAACTTGCTCTCTGTGTCCCCAACTCGGCTCTTCTTTGCTTCCTGACCAGAGTGCAGGGGGAAAGGTGAGATGCTGAGGACTTCTGTCCTCAGACAGAGCCCAAGATCAATGGACCAGGGGCTGGGGAAGGGCCTCCAGGAGCCATTTTGCCTCATTTCAGAGAAGCCAGCCACACCCACCAGTGCTGCCAAGTGCCACCTCTTGGGGCTGAGGACAGGTACAAATCCCTGGGAGACCAGGGCATCCTGCTTCCATCCCATATCAGGCGTCTCTTCCTCACACTCCAGCTCCTTAAAGCCAGCCCCTGCCCTCCCAAGCACTGACAGCCTTTTGTGGGGAAGCCTGGGGAGTGTTTATTAGAGCTAAAGCCAGGCCATATTAGCACTGCCTGAGCCTGTCTGTCACGTGGCACGGCTAGGGGCCAGTAATAACAAGTAGGTGAGGGACTCCCTCCCCCTTCCCTAATAAGGGAAGGAATGAAGGATACAGATTCTGCCCACTGTGGGGACGTCCTTCCCAGCCCCACACACAGCTGTTTATGCTCTTGCACCCATGCACTGTCCTGACAGCTGTGCTGCCTTTAGCCTTTTGTGGAGAGGCCCTGGGGCTTGCTCAGGGGCTCCAGGGACGCTGGCCCCAGTCCAGCCATAGTAAGGGAATACAGAAGCAGCCACAAGATGGAACTGAAAGCAAATTAATTTATAAAAAAAAAAAAAAAGAAAGAAAGAAAAGAAAATTTACAGAAGACTTTCAACAGAAGGAAGGTGCCAAGACGCAGAGGAAGAGGAACAACAGGGCCTTGAGGACAAAGGGCCTCGCGGGAGGGAACAGGAACCGGTATAGAGTCTGGATCATGTTTGCCTGCACGCTGGCGGGGAGGCACTGGAAACCCAGGGAGCAGGGCCAGCAGTGAGCACAGGCGCCCTTCCCCGCAGCTCCCAAACCTGGGTCCTCATCTGTGGAAGCCCTAGCTAGCAGCAGCGGTTCAGTCGGTCTCGATGGGAGATGAAGAGGCTGAGGGGTGCTTAAGTGCTCTTTGAAGGTGTCAGCTTTTACAAGCTCCCAGCTTCTGACAGCCCCCTTCTCCGTGCCTTCCAGGAGTCACCGACCCAACCCAGGGCAGGGAGGAAGATGGCCCTTGCCTCTGTTACCTACCGCACGAATCCCCCAAAATCCATTTGCCCCACCAAATACACGTACGCTGACATCAACTAAACAGGCGACTTTTAAAAACACAAAACTGACATCCAGAGGGCAAGGGGTCGTTGGCTGAGCTGGGAAGCCTGAAAGCAACAATGGGAAGCAGCAGCGGGCACGAGTGCGCAGGGGCAGTGGGTAAGGGAGCTGGGCGGCGACTCAGCCACCAGCCAGGGGCTGGGGGAGACGGGCTCTGCACCCTATTCTACCAGAGCGCTCCCCAGAACCTCAGTTCCCCTTTCTTGAAATTGTCATCCTCTAAAAAATGTAAGACTTGGTTACTGAAGGGAGTTCAAATGTGGCTTTTTAAAATCTCTCTACTTTTTAAAGGGCTTAATTTTTTTTAATCCATTAAAAAAATGCAGTAGTTTTGAGGGGATGCGCCCTTAGAAGTGGTTAATTAGAACCCTGGATGAGCACCTTCCGGCCCTTCTGCTGAAGGCAGCCTTCCCATCCTATCCTCTCAGAGACACAAGAAACAGCTTTGAAACAGTCCTTAGATACTCTGATATAAAAACGCATGCCCCTGCAGGGCACGGCGCGGGCTGTGGAAGGGCAGGAGGAGCTTTCCTTACGTAGTGATGAACTCTCCAGGCTGGGGAAGGGTCCCAGTGGTTGGGGGAGGGCTGTTCCTGGAACCGTGATCTCCTTGGGGGTGAGGGGGAGTTGTCTGGCTGGCTGCTCACTGTGGAGGTGGCACAGGGGTGACTGTGCCTGGGCTCGGGGCTGTGGGGTCTGGAGGCAGAGGGGTGCCTGGGTCTGTGGAGAAAAGGAAGGGGAATCAGCTCACGTGAGCAGAGAGAGGCTCCAGAGCCAGGCCACCACACATAAGCACAGGACCGGCCGTGGCATGCAGTGGTGGTGGATGATGAGGTACCTAGGATGTACAACTCCCCTCTCCCAACACCTCCTTCCACCTCATACTGGAAACACATGGATCCCAATCAGCCACCTATCCCCAAGGGAACTCTGAATGGAGCATTTGAATGTGATGGGAATGAGCAGAGGGATGCCAATCATCATGCAAACAAATAGCTGACTTCCAAGTTTACAAGGGAGATGCTCTGTGCCACAGGACTCCTCCGAGACCCACCAGGGAAAGGCCCCCACATCATCCCAGAGGCGGCAGCTGCCAGGCTGGGGAATGGTGGAGGACAGCCAGACAGGCCCTGCCTCCGGCATCCTAACTTTACCACAGTGTTCAAAAAACTTTGACTGCAGAAACTCTAGTAGCTGACCCCTTCCCCACCTGCCCTCCCCCCTTCCCTGTGGACCCCTCTCCCTCACCCTTCTCCCCTCCTGGCCCCTTCTCACCTGGCAGTGGGCTGGCACTGGGCAGGAGGTTGCCCTGAACAGCTGCCACAATGGCAGGGCTCTGGGCTGCGGCGGATCCGAGCCCCGGCCCGAGAGGCAAGGAGGATGGCATGGTGGTGGTCGCCGGCAGGTTAGGATGTAGAGGGTTCGCCATGGACACAGGCAGGTTAGGTGGGGGGAGAGTGCCCGGGGCGAACGGGAGATGGTGGTGATGCCCATGCAGGTTAGGAGGAGGGGGAAGGTTAATACTGATGGGGTCGGCTAGACTACCAAATGGGATGATGGATGGAGCAGGAGGAGGAGGAGGCGGCATGCCAAAAGGCAAACCCAAAGGAGCATTACCCGCCACGCCTGGGTGCCCGCTGCCTGGCACTGCCCCTGGCATCATTGAGGGAGGAGTTTGTTGGTTGGGGAACGGTGAGGGGCCTGGGAACAAAGAGGAGTGGTGAAGATTAGAGGCGTAAAATCTCACAGCAAGGATAATCTAGCTGCTCCCTGATGCCACCTTCCCTTCTCCTGACACTGGAATAAGTGGTTGCACTCCTTGGAACAAAACTCCAAAGATCGGGGTTTGGAGTTGGGGGGGGTCCCCTGCTGGCTTAGGGACATAACAGAGGTGCGCCCCTCTGTAGAAACACAGGCCAGTCTGTATCTCCAGGCCCCCCGCATAGTCCCCTTGGAGGGGAACTGGGACATTCACCTGGATCCCTTGAGCCAGCTAGAGTTCTGGAACCCATCACTTACCATGGGGTCCAGGGGGGGGTACCCCTGGTGGGACTGCCCCAGGCTGGGGGGCTCCAGCTGGTTGCTGCTGCTGTGGCCCTGCCGTTGACCCTGCCTGCCCAATCTGTTCAGAAGGGCCCAAGCTTCCAGGAGGGACCCCACTGCCAGCAGGAGCAGGGGCCACAGAGGCTGGAGCCACGGCCAAGCCATGGACTGCGGGTGGCCCAGCAGCCCCTGTAGGGGGGATAGGCTGGGAACCTGGGGGCAGGGTTGGCGGTGGCTGCTGCTGCTGTTGGTGCATCTGTTGGAAGTGCTGCTGCCGGGCCCTCATCTCCGCGTACTTTAGCTGCTCCATGTGGAAGGCTTGTCTGTCGGCCAGGAGCTGCTGCCTCTGATACTCCAGCTGCCAGTGCCAATTGAGGACTGTTACTCGATTTTCAGAAGATCCCTAGGCAAATGCCTCGCCCCCTGCTTTGCCGTCTTCTCAAAGACCTTGCCTCTCATTCTGGTGGTTCCCAACATCTACATTTTGTGCTTGTGCATCCTCTGTCCTCTCCACCCCACCTCTTGCAAATTCCCATGACCTTCATTGTCTCCTGGCTTCTCTTTGCAATGGAGTTAATCTGATGGTAGACTTGGCTCATTTCAGCTCCAAAGCTTTGAATTTGCCATTACTTTGATTTGGAAATCGCTTCCAGTTCCTCTTGTCAATTCGTTTTCTTCCTTCAACACTGGCTAGCGACTCACTGTCCTTAGGGAGTATCCCAGGTCAAGTCACTAGCCCCTGCGCTTGGGCTTTGTGGTGCCATTTCTCAGGACTCACACACACGATCTGAAATCTACTGGATTTCTACTACCTCTCAGCCCCTCCCCCAACTGCCTTGCTCAAAACTGAGGCTGCTCCTGGGCAGCCCTTTTGACCATGAGCCACAGGTGGTGGTGTGATTTGAATTTGTCAGATACTTTAGGCATCATTAACTGCTTTGATTGTCTTCATAATGGATATACGATGTTTCTAATTAGACTGTAAGTTCTCTGAGGGCAGAGTCCCTATTTCTTTTCAGGTGCTCTCAAAGACAAAATGGTTCAATACTTTGTTTCCATTCCCTTTCCAATTTAACATCCTGGAGCTGAAGCCCCTACACTCTCATTGCCCCTTCAACCCATTCAATCATTCAACAAATATTTACTGAGAGTTAACTATGGATCAAACACTTTTCAGGGACCTGGAGATGCAGCAAAGAACAAAACAAAACAAAACAAAACGACCGGAATGCCTGGCCCATGGAGCTGAGTCTAGGACCTCAGTGTCCAGGCTTCACGGGTGGGGCTCTGTTCCTTAACTGCACAGGGCTGGCGCCCAGGCCCTCAAGCTTTCTGCACTGCCATTTCTCTCTCACACCCCTCCAGTCCTGGACAGAGGGGCAGCTGAGTCTCCAGGAGGGTTCCAGGCTCCTGCTGAGCCCCTAGGGGAGGCCACTCACTGCTTCTCGCTCCCGGTCCATGATCGTCTCTAGCTCCTCGAAGTGCCGGAGTTTGATCTCCAACTTTTTCATCTGAGTTTCCACCAGCAGAGCCACCAAAGACTTGATCTTCCTTTCTTCGACGGCAGCTAAGTGCTGGGAGGGGGGGCGGGGGGAGGGACGGCTTGTGAGCAGCAGGACCCCGCCGCACACATCCCAGGGGAGAAAGGCAGGGCAGACATGGGCAGGTGTGAGAGCAAACTCCCTGCGGTCACAACCCACAGAAGTGTTGGCTTGGTATTTTTTTTAAAAAAGAGCAGCAAAAGATAAGACGAAGTCACATGGTTACAGAGCTGGAAACAGGCCCCCAAATTAAAAAAGCTTAGAGATGAGATGACTGACTCTCTTTTAGGATAAAAATAACAAGAAAGCAGGCTAGCAAGGGGTGAGCAAGGAAGGGCTTGTAAGCGAAGGAGATTAGAGGGCATCTTCCTCGGGTCTTCAGGGCCTGCCTCACCTTGGCTTTCACAGCGGCGGCAGCCAGGGCAGCGGCAGCGGCGGTGGAGAGGTTGCCCTCCCCAATGTCCCGCTCCACCTTCGTCTTCCTTTCCCCCTCCGACTCCACCACCTCCTTCAGCACTTCCTCCTGCCCTTCCTTTGGCTCCTTCTCCTTCTCGGGATCAGCTGGGCCGGGGCGAGGGCTGAGTTAGTCTGACAGCTCCACTTGTCTCTGCTGGGCTCTTCCCCAACCCTGGCACTGTCCGGGATGTTCACCCCCTGGGTCACCATCCCTCTTCCCCCACCCCGTCCGGGATGCTCACCCATTGAGTCAGCATCACTCTTCTCCGGTTCCCTCTCGCTGTCGCCTTCTTTCCCTTTCTCCTCATCCTTCTTGGGGGCCTCGCTAGTTTTCTCCTTGGCCTCCTCCTCTCCAGCCCCTCCTCCTTCCCGGGGCTCCTGAGGCACCAGGGAAAGGACAGGGAGCATCAGGTGGGGGAGACTGGGAGCTGCATTCACTCTGGCATGTTCGGAGCCCACCTGGCTCTGGGGACAGCCCTTGTTCACCCACCACCGCCACTCCTGCCCCTCCCGGCCTGAGCTCAGTCCCTCTATACCTTAGGCTCCTTCTTCTCATCTGTGGCCTGGCCCTCCGCCCGGGCTTCGTCAGTCCCGCTCTCCTCTGGGCCCGTGGGGAGAGGAAAGGGAAGAGGAAATGCCTGATAGTCTCTCTCCCCACAGCCCCTCCACCAGCCAAAACCTAGTGACAGGACCAGCCAGAAGCCATGTCCCGCTGTGCTCTGATACCAACATGGGGCAGGGATGGCCCAGGGAGGCCAGAGGGCTGTGGCTTTTGGAGGAAAGGGAGAGATCTGGAAACGTCCCAAGCCTTACCGATCCGCTCAGGCTCCTCAGAGGTGGTTCCTGCGATGCCGCTGCTTTCCAGGCCAAAGGCTGGGTCGGCCTTGCCTGTCACTTTGGCTGCTTCCTCCACTTTCCGAACGTGGGCTTCCACCAAGGCTGTGGGCACCTCTTCCTTCATTTTGGAGAACTCCTCTGAAAGACCCAGGGGATGCAGCTGGGAGCAGTGCAGGCGGGCAGCTCTGGCTATCCTGGTAGACACCATCTCAGAGCCCCTCTCAACTAAGACCAGCGCAGCACCTAGACAGGCCCCTGAGCGGCCAGCGGGGCAGCTGGACTTGAGAGCGTTTCCCAGTCTGAGTAACCAGCCCTTCACACGCAAACTAAGAAGGCCGGCACCCCCACCCCGGTTACCTAGGGCAGACTTTGCAGCAGCAGACGCGACGCGGGGATCGACGACAGAGGCCAGGAAGGCAACAGTGCTCATGACAGGGTTGCCCGACTGACTGAAGGGGATGGGCTGGTAGGCCAGGGGGCCCAGGGAGGCCTCCGAGTCCTCCAGGTAGGGGTCTTCAATGGGAAGACGAAGGAAATGCAAGATGCACTCATCCTGTGTCCGGCTTCCCACGTGCTCAGATACTTTGTTCCAGTCATCTTTGTACATTTCCAGTGCCTGGTGGGGTGGTGGAGACATAACTCTTCTTATTTAGCCACCTTCCTTGGAGGTCAACTCCCGCTATGCTACCAGGGGCAGCTGGCTTCAAAGCTCTCTGTGTTCTGCTTTGTGTTTACTCTGCTGGATCCAAGGGGGATCTCCAAGTAGCACTAAGAAAGGATCTGAAGTTAAAGAAACGTCCCAGATCCCTGGCCTGGAGCTGTTCCCTGGGGCAGGTGTGACAGACATCAGGAAGGGGAGAGACCGGGAAGAGATGGTGCTCTGCTCACGCCAGACTCCACGAGCTCTCCCAGCTCCCAAGTGCAGCTGGCACCCTGGTCCCTACTGTTTTTGTAGCAGAACTCTCTTCCTTGCCCCAATTACCTCGAGGAGTAGCAGGGTCTCCTGTTCTGTCCACTCTCGAGTGGCACTGGCTGCGGCTTTGCTCTGCAGAGGATGCAGGCGGGTCAGGAGGCAGGAGCCTGGGAGCTCTTGGGAGAGGTTCTCCAGCCCCGCAGCCAGCCTGCACCGCCTACCTTGGAGGGGACGCTCTTCTTCGTGTACATGTCTGTGCGCAGCCCGAAGTTCTGCATGTCTGTTGGTTTCTCTTTGCCTTTGTCAGGAAAGTTGAGCATTTGTTGGGAAGCAGAGGTCTGCTATTTGTGGAGGGGAAAGAAAGAGGTGAGTACGAGTGACCATTGGGGGTCAGGGGCAGACAGAGAGAGAAAACAGACAGAAGGAGCTTCCTTCCCAGTCCAGGGACGTCCCTGGCGGGACTTCCTCCCCTACTGCTGTAGCTCCTCTGCTCTCATGCCTCTTTTTCCCGGGCAGGGGACCCCCAATAAAGGGGCAAATAAGAAGCTCAGCGGGGTCTGCACCCCACCTACCAGCTCTGGCTTGCCCTTAGCCGTCTCTGGCACCAGGTCATCCAGCTCTTTGCCCTTTCGCCCAGCCTTGGTATCAGCATCAACCTGGCGGCCCTGGGGGACAGAGCTTGGCGTCATGGAAGCTGGGCAGGAAATGACCAGGCCAAGACCAAATGCTGGGTGGCCCGCAAGCTCTGGGGCACTCATGCCACTGTTCCAGTTCCCTTTCTGATTAATTAGACACATGGTTGGCATGGTGTCCATTTGTATGCACATGTACTTTTAAGGTTCTCTTAGGAGCTGGACAATTAGATTCTATTCCTAGATTTGGTACTCTGTGACCTTGGGCAAGCCACATAACCTTTCTTCTCTTAATTTTTATAATAGATGAAATGGAAGTGGAAAAAATGGAGGTGATAATAATTATGAGACAAAAATGAAAAAATGTGGGAAACATGAGGAAGTGTGACAATTTCATGCAAGTCAATTTTACACCATTTTCCTCTGTCTGCTTCAACCCTACACTGGCCTATCTGCTCCCTGAGGACAAGGAGGATCTCACTCCCTCAGGAAGTCCTCGCAGCCTTGAGTACAGAGGCTGAGAGAGGGTGCTAACACACGGGGCTCACGCCTGTGGCCCTTCGCCTCCCATGGAAAAGGAAGAAGCCTCAAAATACTCCTGAACCATTACCCTAAAAACCAGAAAAAGAAAGTCTGAAGAAGCCCAATCTTACCCAAGCCCACCCTGTCCCCACAGCCCCTCGCCCTACCTGCGGGGTCTTGGGCTGCAGAGGCACCAGCCCCGACGGTGTGTCGGCCAAGACATGGAAGTGAGAGGTGGGCGGAGGCCCCATGGGGGTTGGTCGGCTCTCGGCATCCACCTGGTAGTTAATAAGACCCCACTGCTCGAGGAAGGCATGGACCCTGTGAGGAGGGAGGCAGAGTCAGGGTCACATGGAACAGCTGGAAAGGTGCATGAGGAGGACTGTGGTAGAGACAGCGGTGTAAAGCTCCCTCTCCTCCTCCCCTGGTCTCTTCTGTTTATTCCACTCTCTGGAAAATCCCACTGCTTACCCACCACCCAGACCCCAGTGACACCAAGCCCGCATCTATAGTCTAACCCTCTCTCAGCCAGATGCTGCTAAGCACCCCTCCCCAGACAGCTGGTGAAACAGAACCGCTGTCACGGTCATGGTCACGGACGTGCTCCTGTCCACACTGCCACCACCCACACCTGGGCTTCACCTTTCTCTAGAGGTCTGTCCCTGCCCTCTCCCTTACACTGCTGGCTGCATTGCCCTCCGCCAAGATGCACCCACACACCCCTGCCCTCCACTCAGTGGCAAGACCCACCTCATGATGGCACAGACGTCCCCGGCCAGGTTCCGGCGGCAGGCAGTGGAGGTGAGGTACTCTTGGGGGTTAAGTCGGTAAGTGTCAATCATGAAGTTTCGGTAGGCCAGGTAGCTTAGGAGAGAAAGGGATGAACAAGAGGAAGAAGACATGTTGAAGGCTGAAGGGTAGGAAACTGGTAAAAGAGCTAACGATTCCTCCTACACCACAAAGATGGGACAGAGTAGACGGTCTGACTCGCTATACACGGAGTGCCTGCTGCGTGCTGGCTGCAAGGGACTCTAACAGCCTCACACTCTCCCTGACGGGGTTCCAGGCAAATGAATGTCTTCTTGGCTACCCTCAGAGATGTTACACCCAACTTTGAAACAAGGAATCAAAAGGTAAGAAAAGATGCCCTTGTCTTAAAACCCTGACACTAAAGGGGAGCCTTATTTGTGCGTGTGCAGATGTGTGACACGGTGGACAGTTTTTTTTTTTTTTTTTTTTTGACAGGCAGAGTGGATAGTGAGAGAGACAGAGAGAAAGGTCTTCCTTTGCCGCTGGTTCACCCTTCAATGGCCGCCGTGGCTGGCGCACCGCGCTGAGCCAAAGGCAGTAGCCAGGTACTTATCCTGGTCTCCCAATGGGCCATCCTCCACTGCACTCCCTGGCCACAGCAGAGAGCTGGCCTGGAAGTGGGGCAACCGGGACAGAATCCGGCGCCCCGACTGGGACTAGAACCCGGTGTGCCGGCACTGCAGGTAGAGGATTAGCCTAGTGAGCCGCGGCGTCGGCCCAGAACGTATGTTCTTAAGTGGGAAGATATAACTTCAAATCCCAGTTCTACTGCGATGGCCTTGACCAGTGATTTTAACTTCCTGAACTCAGCTTCCTCCCCTGTACAGTGGAATGTCTGCCGAGGACCGTGGAAGCCTGGAAAGCACTAGCACAGTCTGGAACAGTGCAGGAGCTGAAGACGTGGAAGCTGTTAGGGGTGCAATGTCAAGTTTGAAAACATGAGGCAGATTGAAGGAGACCAACTTACTAGTGGTGTGACCTTATTCAAGACACAACGCCTTTATAGCCAGCTGTCTCACTTGTAACCTGGAGATGATAACACGACCTATCTCCAACGTTAATGTGAGATAAAATCAGTGTGTGCAGAACACTCAGGATGGTGCCTGGCAGACAGTGCTCTCAACAGATGAAGGCAATTGCCATCATTTACTAGAATATACCAAGAATTTGTTCCGGCCCAACCCGACTGGTGTATCATTTGGGCACTACTTCCTTTTCCTTTCTTTTCACGCACACTGCTTTGCTGGGAGGAGAACCAGGCTATGGGCCAAGAAACAGGTGGGAAGAGAGGACCCCAGAAAAGGGAAGCTGAGGAACAGGTAAGAAGAAAACCTGTTCAGTTCTCAGTTTCACCCACCTTCTCATGCATTTACCCTGGAGTAACCCTAACCACAGAAGGTCACCGAGTCTTAACCAAAGCCAGGCAAGTCTGGCTTGAGGCAAAACCTTGAAGGAGATGAAGACTTCTGCACCTGATACTAACTAGTTCTCTCTATCCCTCCATTCACAGACTTAGGTCCTCTCTGAGTTCCTTCTCTTGTCCTTTTCATCAAAATCTACTCTCAGACCAGCTTGGTGACAGTCACTCATATTTTAAAGCTCCTACTTGTGCTACAGACGTCTGCACTGTAGACAGTCTCAGTGATCATGGCAGAGAGGCTGTGTCCTTGGGCCAGAATTTTGGGTACCAGAGCAGGCACTTGTTCTGCATAGAAAGGCATGCTGGATGTCCCCCTGGGAACATTCTAAAGAACACGTGTCCAAGTGCTGGGCTGCACAGATCACGTCTTTATAAACCTAGCACGCAAGGAGCTCAACAAATGCTTGCTGAACTGAATGCTGCTGGGTCAGGAAGGGCAAGCAGGGACAGAGGGGAGAAGGGGATCATGGGCTGAGATTTCCTTACATCTCTGGGGTCTTGGACTTGTTCTTGCCGTTGAAGAACTCGGGGAGAGCCCTCCTCTCAATGGCATGCACACTGCAAGAGAAGTCAGAGTGGACATGGGCTTAGAGGAGAGGCGGGAGCTCCAGAGGGGAGAAAAGCCTAGAAGGTGGGATGGGGAGATGGCTTGAAACTGCAGGAAAGAATTAGAGATGTAGGGAGAACACCCTACAAGGCCTCTAAGACTCAAAATAGACCAGGAGCTCCTTGAGAATGGAAAAGCAGCCTGGTCTACCTGGCTGAGGCAAAACTCTCATTCGGAGGAGGCAGGGGAAGCAGCAGCTCACTGATCCTGGAGTCAGGGAAGCCATCCAGGGAGAAGCCAGAACAATACCTGTTGTAGTCAAACCAGGCAGCATAGCTGGGAATGATGATGTGGTGTGTCTGCTCAGTCACGTTGTCCTCATGCAGGTCTGGATTCTTGGTCTGCTCCCCCTTGTTCCCCGTGCTGTTCTCGTCCTCATCCTAGGAGTATGGAGGCTGCTGGACACTCAGCATTCCTCTGTCCCCTCAGCAACCCTCTGCTTCCCCCCACACCCCAGGGAAGTGGACACAGATGATGGGTGGACGGGAGTGAGCAGGCATGGGCTGAGGGACTCGAAAAGGCTTGGGGCTTTGAGCAATAGCTAGGATTAGCCTGGAGTGGGAAAAGCTGGGACAGAAGGAATTTTATCATCACAGATCAGAATCACATAGAGAGGGAGGCCCTCTCTAAACTGGCTCCACCTTGCCCGTGGTCTCCATGCTCTCATCCTCCTGTTCATCTGAAAGAGAAGGCAGTGTGATAAGGCTAAAGCCTCCCGAGGGGTAGGGGAGTCCTGCTGCAAAGCCTGTCAGGCCAGGGGGGAGGCGGGGCTGAGCCCTCCCCCAGCCTCGGGCTCTGACAGCCTTGCCCGAGGTCGACCCTTACCCAGGTCGGTCATGGTGCCTCCTTTGACGGGAGCTGACTCCGAGTCCTTCTTAGTGTTCACTGCCAGAAGAGAGAGTCATCTCATCAGGCAGATTCGGCCTCAGCTGAGCCCTCATCTCTCCACTATTAATAGTTCTACATATCCTACTTTCTCAACAAATTTTCTCCATTTGACTGCAAAACATAGCAACTCCCTCCAGCCCCAATCATTCCAGGGCTTGAAACACTCACTACCTTCTTCCCTTCTCCAACCAAAAATACCTGTGACTACTCTCTACACTTATATTCACAAATAATTCTTTTTTTTTCTTGACAGGCAGAGTGGACAGTGAGAGACAGAGACAGAGAGAAAGGTCTTCCTTTTGCCGTTGGTTCACTCTCCAATGGCCGCCGTGGCCGGTGCGCTGCAGCCGGCACACCGCGCTGATCCGATGGCAGGAGCCAGGTACTTATCCTGGTCTCCCATGGGGTGCAGGGCCCAAGGACTTGGGCCATCCTCCACTGCACTCCCTGGCCACAGCAGAGAGCTGGCCTGGAAGAGGTGCAACCGGGACAGAATCCGGCGCCCCGACTGGGACTAGAACCTGGTGTGCCGGCGCCGCAAGGCGGAGGATTAGCCTAGTGAGCTGCGGCGCCGTCCCCACAAATCATTCTTGTCTGTGACAGGCCCCTACCTCCAACTATGCGTCTGTAAGCTCGCAAAGGACTTGGTTTAATTTTCAGCAAATCACCCTCTAGGGCAAACGTAGAGGGCGTCTGGCCTATGGGCCATAGAAGTCCCGCAAAATCATTTGGTCTGGCACTACCAAGGCAACTGCAGAGAGGACTCAAAATTCAATAAACCTATAGCTGGCTAATCTCTAATAATTTGGTATGGCCTGCAAATGATTTTAGAAATATCCACATGGCCCGGCCCTTGGCCAAATAAAACTTCCCCCATCTCTGCTGTAGAGGAACAGTTATGTTCTTAAACATTTTTGAAAGCATAGGACAGGGCTGGCGCTGCGGCTCCTCCGCCTTGCAGCGCTGGCATACCGGGTTCTAGTCCCGGTCGGGGTGCTGGATTCTGTCCCAGTTGCCCCTCTTCCAGGCCAGCTCTCTGCTGTGGCCAGGGAGTGCAGTGGAGGATGGCCCAAGTGCCTGGGCCCTGCACCCCATGGGAGACCAGGAGAAGCACCTGGCTCCTGCCATCGGATCAGCGCGGTGTGCCGGCCGCAGCGCGCCGGCTGCGGCGGCCACTGGAGAGTGAACCAACGGCAAAGGAAGACCTTTCTCTCTCTGTCTCTCTCTCTCACTGTCCACTCTGTCAAAAAAAAAAAAAAAAAAGAAAGCATAGGACAGGGCTGGCGCTGTGGCACAACAGGTAAGGCCGCTGCCTACAGTGCTGGCATCCCACTTGGGCGGTTCGAGTCCTGGCTGCTCCACCTCCAATCCATCTCTCTGCTATGGCCTGGAAAAGCAGTGGAGGATGGCCCAAGTCCTTAGGCCCCTGCACCCGTGTAGGAGACCTGGAGGAGGCTTCTGGCTCTTGGCTTTGGATCAGTGCAGCTCCGGCCGTTGCGACCAATTGGGGAGTGAACCAGCAGATGAAAGACCTCTCTCTGCCTTTCCTTCTCTGTGTAACTCTGACTTTTAAATAAATAAATAAATCTTAAAAAAAAAAAAAGCTCAGGAGAAAACAGTGAAGACCTGACTGATAAGCAGGTAGAAGCCAGAACTCCTCTCAGTGGCTGCTCCAACCCCATCCTGAAATATACTCCTGGAATACCTCAAGCTAGTCTATGGAATACAGATCATAAGCCAGTTTTGCAAAACGATGGCCTCCAAAGGAAAGTTATCATATCAGATGCAAAAATCATCCACTGGAACACAGGAGAGGCCAGAACTTCCCATTGTATTTGTTTTTATTATCCTTTACATTTTTTATTTTTTAGATGTTTTATATTTTTTATTTGAAAAGCAGAGAAACAGAGATCTCCCAATCGCTGGTTCACTCCCCAAATTCCCACAACAGCCAAGACAGGGCCAGGCCAAAGTCAAGAGCCCAGAGCCCAGTCCAGATCTCCCAACTACTCGATCCATCATCTGTTACTGCCCAGGGTATACATTAGCAGGAGGATAGAATTAAAAGGAAATTCTGGACTTGGAACCTGAACTCAGCACTCCAATACGGGATGAATCAACATTTTACCCACCATACCAAACACCCACTCCACATGTATTTTGTAATGACCCTAAGGTAGTGACTGGCTTCATAGTACCCATAAAGAGTATGTGCTCGAATCTATCTTACCAACAGGAGTGTTTAAGGAAAAAGAGTTTGGAGGAGCAGGCATCTGGTACAGTGGTTAAAGATACCACTTGGGAGGGCAGGTGCCGCGGCTCACTTAGCTAATCCTCTGCCTGCGGTGCCAGCACCCTGGGTTCTAGTCCCAGTTGGGGCACCGAATTCTGTCCTGGTTGCTCCTCTTCCAGTCCAGCTCTCTGCTGTGGCCCGGAAGGGCAGTGGAGGATGGCCCAAGTGCTTGGGCCCTGCACCCGCATGGAAGACCAGGAGGAAGCACCTGGCTCCTGGCTTCGGATCGGTGCAGCACGCCAGCCGTAGCACCCATTTGGGGGGTGAATCAATGGCAAAGGAAGACCTTTCTCTCTGTCTCTCTCTCTCTCTCTGTCTCCTTTTTCTCCGTCTCTCTCTGTCTCTCTCATTGTCTAACTCTGCCCGTCCAAAAAAAAAAAAAAAAAGATACCACTCAGGATACTGATATCCCAGATTGGAGTGCCTGGGTTCAAGTCCCAGCCCACTTCTGATTCCAGCTCCATGCTGGTGTGTACCCTGGAAGGAAGCAGGTGATGGATGGCTCAGAGCTTGGGTGGGAGAGCACATGGAGAGATCCCATGTGGGAGATTCTGGATTGAGTTCTGAGTTCCTTGCTTCATAACCTCGCCCAGCTGTGGCTGATGTGGGCATATGGAGGAGTGAGTCAGCATATGGAGACTCTTTCTCTATCCCTCTCTGCTTTTTAAACAAAATGAAAATAAATAAATAAAAATTTATGTTAAAAATGTGTAAAGGGGTCATAAAAAAATTTGGAGATTTGGAGGTAAGTACTGTCAGGTATAAAGCAGCACAACTCAGATATGGGTATGAAGTTACAGGATTTCCCCTGGTAATGAAAATCCTATCAATAACCAGCTGTTTAAGGGAATTAGCCTGGCCCGGCCCATACCTGTTTTGGGCAGTGTCACCTCTTCTACATTGGGGACTGGTGAGGGCTCATCCATGTCCTTTGTCAGGTCTTCTTGCTCCTCCTCTCTGTGGCCACGCTTTGACTTGGTGTAAGGTGTTGAAGGGCTGGGAAAGAGAGAGTAAAAGAAAATCCAGTCATCCTCGGATGTTGAGGTTCAAGGAAGGGAAGCAAGAATCCCAAGGGTAGCGCTGCAGGGTAACAGGAAGTGGCAGAGGCTTTTCATTTGGTGATGAAGCTCTCTGAGTGAGGTGATGGCTGGGACTGGAACTGTTGGGAGCTCAGGACACCTGCGGTATATGGCACGTCCAGGTCACGGCTGGAAGATTACGGGAAGGACTTGGTCCTTCTTTCCTTCACCCTGGTGTGCAGAGAATGGTGAACACAGGGGAAGGTTAGGGCTAATGTACCCTTTCTTAGCGTTTTTCTTCTTAGCTTCTGGGGTTGGTGAAGGAGAAGGGGAACGCTTCCTCTTCTTATAGTTCCCTCCCTTCTTGTCTCGACGATCTGAATCCGGGCTGTTCACCTGCAGGTTGAAGTGCGATAGGTGTCAGCCTACAGTCCCCAGCAAAGATTTGTTCTGAGATTGTGCTTAATGGGGCTCCAGGAAGAAAGAACACAATTTCACCTCGTCTGTCAGTGTCTTAGCTGAAATCTTCTTTCGGCGGGAGACAGGGTTTTTGTCATCATTTACTTCATAGTCTTCCTCATTCATCCACTCATTGAAGGTGTCTGTGTCCAGGATCCACTTTGCATGAACCTAAAGCACAAAAGCAGACGGTGCTGGAGGGAAGCCTGGAAGCAACAGCTGGGTCTGGGGACCTCTGTTAAAACACATGTGTGTTGGTGGGCAGGTTCTGGTGCAGCAGGTGGCACATGCTGTATTGGAGTGCCGTGGGTTTGATTCCCATCTCTACTGCCAATTCCAGGTTCTTGCCAGTGTGCACCTTGGGAGATAGGAGGTAATGGCTCAAGTAGGTGTTCCTGCCACCTGTGTGGAGACATGGATTGAGTTCCTGGCTCCTGACTTCAGCCTAACCTAGTGCTTTCTGTTGCGGGTATTTGTGGACTGAACCAGCAGACAGATCTCTCTCTGTCTCTGTCTTTCAAATAAAAATGAAAATAAATAAACAATAATTCAAACAAAGTCCAAGGGCACAGAAGCCTCACTGCCTCACCTCCAGAAAGTGGTCTGGTCCCAGCCTCCCTCATGGGGTGGGGGCACGGGAAAATCTTACCTTTCTAGGTTTCTCGGGAGTTGGTGCGTCTTCCACAGATGCTTCAATTTCACTTGCCGGGATCCAGGTGTCGTAACTGCCATGAGAAATTGAGCATGAAGTACAATCAACAGGATAGAGTGCAGATCTTTTGGAAACACTTACATAAAGTACCGGGTTGTTGGTTTATCTTTTTGGCATGGTTTATTTTTCCAGGTGCTATCCAGAAAACATTACAATGCATTTAAAAAGCAGAGAACAGGGGCCAGCACTGTGGTGCAGCAGGTGAATACACTGCCTGTGACACCAGCACCCCATATCAGAGTGCAAATTCAAGTCCTGGCTGCTCTCTGCTAATAGACCTGGGAAAGCAGTGGGAGGCTGTCCAAGCACTTGGCCCTTGCAGCCCATGTTGGGGACCCATGTGGAACTCCTGGCTTCTGGCTTCAGCACGGCCCAGTCCTAGCTGTTGCGATTATGTTGGGAGTGACCCAGTGGATGGAAGATCTGTCTCTCCTCCTCTCTCTGACACTCTACTTTTAAAATAAACAAAACAAATCTTATAAACACCAGTGCTGCCCCTAGCTCACTGAGGTCTAGCAGGAGAAGAAGAGGGTAGGGAAGGAGGTCTCTATAAACATTGGTTCCCAGAAAGCAGACCGCCCACAAATCAACCAGCAGTAAAGCACCCACAGCAGCAACCAGCTACAAAACCCACCGATGAGGGAGTGACCTCTACTGGAGGGGTGAAGAAACCTCATTGATACAAGCCTGGCATTGTGGCGCTCAGTCCTCAGAAGTCCACTGAACTTTTGATTCGAAAACTCTCCTTCTAAGCGTCTGGTGGGAGAAACTGCTCAGGATTTCAAAACAGATCTGTGCTCCCAGAGTACCACTGTTGGTGCTTTCCACAAGACAAGAGAGGCCTAGCTGGCTGGCCTTTTTGAAGACACCAACCTGTGTGCTATCTGTGCCAAATGTGTAACAATTATGCCAAAAGACATCTAGCTAGCATGCCACACATGTGGAGAATGTGATTAAGAAACCACTATGTGGGTAAAGCTGCCACCTGCAGTGCCAGCATCCCATATGGGTACTGGTTCAAGGCCCAGCTGTTCTACTTCTGATATAGCTTCCTGCTAATGGCCTGGGGAAAGCAGTGGAGGATGGCCCGAGAGCTTGGGCCCCTGCACCTTCATGGGAGACCCAGATGAAGCCAGGCCCAACCCTGGCTGTTTTGGCCATCTGGAGAGGGAACCACTGGATAGAAGAGCTCTTTCTCTGTTTACAGTCTAACTCAAATAAATTAAAAAAATTTTTTTAAACTTAAAAAAAAAAAAAAGAATCCATTATGATCTTTGGTGGGAAACATTTCATTTCAAAAAAATTTTTTTCTCTTCTTCCCGTTACTGGTAGTTCTGAATATCAGACATCTTTTCCCTCCACATGTCCAAAAGGTCCCTAAGGGCCAGTGCTGTGGTGCAAAGGGTTAAGGCGGCACCTGCAGAGCTGACATCACATACGGGAACTAGTTCAAGTCCAGGCTGCTCCACTTTCAGTGCAGCTCCCTGCTAATGTGCCTGTGAAAAACAGTGGAGGATGACTCAAATGCTTGAGCCCCTGCTGCTATATGGGAGACCTGGAAGAATCTCCTGGCTTCGGCCTGGCCACTGCTGGCCTTTGCAGCCATTTGGGCAAAGAACCAACAAATTGGTTGATCTCTCTCTTTAATTCTGACTTATAAATAAATAGAATAAATCCCATTTTTCTTAAAAAAAAGGTCCCTAAGTACATGATTCTGAGTGGAAAAATGGGGGGCAAAATTCAAGTATTGGCAATTTTTTCCATTTTCATGTGTTTTTGAATTTTTAATATAAATGTGTGGACAGAAAGCATTCATGCAAGGGGCTGGCGCTGTGGTGTAGCAGGTAAAGCCGCGCCACCTGCAATGCTGGCATCCCATAAGGACACTGGTTCAAGTCCTGCTGTTCCACTTCCAATCCAGCTCTTTGCTATGGCCTAGGAAAGCAGTAGAAGATGGCCTAAGTCCTTGGGCCCCTGCACCCATATGAGAAAACCAGAAGAAGCTCCTGGTTCCTGGCTCTGAGATCGGCCAAGCTCCGGCCATTGTGGCCATGGCCATTTGGGTAGTGAATCAGCAGGCAGAAGATCGCTCTCTGCCTCTGTCTCTCTGTAACTCTGCCTTTCAAATGAATAAGTAAATCTTAAAAAAAAAAAAAAAAAAAAAATTCATGCAAGTCAAAATGTTTCAGTGAACAAGTATCAGCAATTCAGCTTGATATACAGCAATTATAAATACACATGTTAAATTTCTCTGGAAAATGCCAGCATTTGGACTTAAAAAAAATAATAATAATGATAAGTAGGGGCTGGCACCGCGGCTCAACAGGCTAAACCTCCGCCTGTGGCGCCAGCACCCGGGGTTCTAGTCCCGGTCGGGGCGCTGGATTCTGTTCCGGTTGCTCCTCTTCCAGTCCAGCTCTCTGCTATGGCCCAGGAAGGCAGTGGAGAATGGCCCAACTGCTTGGGCCCTGCACCCGCATGGGAGACCAGAAGCACCTGGCTCCTGGTTTCGGATCAGCGTGGTGCACTGGCCGCAGCAGCCATTGTGGGGTGAACCAACATAAAAGGAAGACCATTCTCTCTGTCTCGCTCTCTCTCACTGTCCACCCTGCCTGTCAAAAAAAAAAAAAAAAAGTAGGGGCCAGTGCGCCGCCGCCTGCAGCATCAGCATCCCATATGGGCGTTGGTTCAAGTCCCAGCTACTCCACTTCTGATTCAGTTCCCTGTTAATGTGCCTGGGAAAGCAGCAGAAGATGGCCCAAGTGCTTAAACCCCTGAACCCATGTTGGAGACCCAGAAGAAGCTCTTGGCTCCTGGCTTCAGCCTGGTCCAGCCCCAGCCATTGTGGCCATTTGGGGAGTGAGCCAGCAGACAGAAGACCCCTCTCTATCTCTTCCCCTCTCTCTGTAACTCTTTCAAATAAAATAAATCTTAAAAAAAAAAAAAGTAAATTCCTTACTGATGCAGAACAAATGTTTCAAATACAAAGAAATGACAAATGTTTAAGATGACGGACATGCTGATTATCCTGATTTAATCACTGTATATGGTTATGGACATGTCAAAATAGACTATACCTATGAATATGTATTACTTACTATGTGTCAGTTGAAAATAAACTAAAAAAAAATGAAGAATCATTCTAACATAACTATTCTTGATCCTTAGTATGTTTTGCCAGTGATTTTTCTGTGTAACTTTGGTTTTACATAATCATAATCATACTAGATGTTATTTTACATGCCACTTTTTACAGTTAATATTCACTTATAAGTTATCCACGTTATTTCATATTACTTTAAAGGCTGCATGACTCCCTAAAAAAAAAAGTGCTGACGCCTACTTCCAGGTAGACTGTTTCTAACATTTACTAACTGAAAATTCTCCTGGGATGAGCATTTCACACACGAAGCCCAATCCTTTTAACCTAAACCTAAGCCTCATCCAGTAAGTTCAAACCCTCCCCAGACAGAAGATTCACAGAACAGATGGGGGAACAAATTAACTGATCTGAAAACAACCCCCAAAGAGTCTGCTTGCTCTGCTGCATGTTCCAGGGCTACTGGGTCTGGCTCTTGAACTTGAACCTGCCCCAGGAACCCATCCTCACCTGTCAGGGTAGTAGCCCCAGTGCAGAAGAACCTGCTTATCCCTCTTCATGACTGGCCGTACCCATTCCTCTGGGGACAGAGACAGAGAAGGGAGGAGATAAGCTAAAGGGGCACACACAAAAATAACTGGACAAAAGCCCTGACTAAGCACTCCCCTGCTACAGCAGGGGACATGACAACAGGAACTGAAGGTGGGAGAGGAGAGAGGAGCCCTGGTGCTGCCTGGTGAGCTGAGCAGTCCTCCGCCTCCCAGTCCAAGGCATCCACTGCAGGGCCAGGAAAACCCAGGTCCCACCTTCTTCGAGGTTCCCTGGGACAGGATACACAACGTGGGAGGCATTGTTCTTATCCTCAGTGACTGTTCCCTGGATGGCACAAGGAGAAGGAGGTCAACAGGGGCCCCGCTGAATTATGGGTACAAACAAACCAAAACAATCACAGTCCGCTTACAATGATATTAAAGCTGGTTTGCATTCTCTAAGCACACACTCGCTGAGCAGCAAAGGGAAACGGCTGGGGCTGTGCTAGTTAACGAACAAACGTCAAATAACAAACTGCTGCCACAGAACCCTCTAAGTGGGTAAACCACACGTGGGAAATGTAAAGGTGACTGTATGTTTTCATCAGTGACATCTGCTTGTTATCACAAAGTTCCAAAGAGCAAGGATTTCACTGGTCTGAAATTAGATAATCTCCAGCTCAGTGGAAGCAGATGCCAGTGGAGTCTCTGGGAACTCCAGACCCGTGAGGACTGGGAGATGGGCGGAGCAGGGTCCAGACCCGTGAGGACTGGGAGATGGGCGGATTAGGGTCCAGACCCGTGAGGACTGGGAGATTGGCGGATTAGGGTCCAGACCCGTGAGGACTGGGAGATGGGTGGATTAGGGTCCAGACCCATGAGGACTAGGAGATGGGCAGATTAGGGTCCAGACCAGTGAGGACTGGGAGATGGGCGGATTAGGGTCCAGACCCGTGAGGACTGGGAGATGGGCGGAGCAGGCAGGAGAGAGGCTCAAGGCTTAACCTTCAGTCTTTTCCCAAACTGGGAGCAAGGGCCAGCTCAGGGGTAGGCACTGTGGTGCTTCACTGCTGCTGTGCGGTATGGAAAACACTGGGGCAAGAAACCTCTCCTGCCCCACCACTCACCTGGTGTCTCTTGATAATGTCCTTTAACTTCCCTAGCAGTTTGGGCTCAATATCTGGGCAGAGAAAAATGTTAGGTCGAGACAGGCAGTTATTCTGTGGGGAGAAGAAACAGATGGGATGAGATTTTGGGGCAGGGGTTATCGCTGAGGGAAGGGAGGCGGGCGGGGGAGGCCCCTGACTATTACCTGCACCAAGGACTTCTCAATGGTCATAAACATTTCCACATTGCGGTCCATGCGTGATGGGTTCTGGAAATCGTAACGCCTCCTTGTAAAGAGGCAATAATCTAGTGAGTGGGGTAGCTCAGGGCTGGGAACGAGGCGAGGGTGTGTGACTTCTTGACTTGGGAAATTAGGAGGCAACCTTGCTCATAGTGGATGCCAGACCACCTGAGTTCTGGGGTTCACTGATCTCAACTCCACAAATCCCTCCCTCTGTGCTTAGCCCAGAAGGACAAAGAGAAGCTTAAGAGGCCACGCTGAGAATCCCTTTTCCTCCACGGCACACGCACCGACACCCACGGGCATGCCCTCACTCATTCTTGGGGATTGTTTTGGCCCTGACACGCAGCCATTTTTCTGACCCAGCGAAAGACATTCACGGAATGTCCACCTGTGTCCTCCCACCCAAGGAGCCAAGGCGGGTGCTCTGTAAACTTAACGTAAGAAGCTGAGTATGAAGGGTCTCACCATCCCTGGTCACTCTTGAATTTGTAGGCAGCTGCAAGTATGTGGCACAGGGAGCCTCCTGCTTTGAAATCTAGGAAACATTTGATCTACAGAATGGAGACAGTGAGAAGCATGCGAGTTATATCATAAATTCTCTTATCACTTACTAATTCTTTCATAAAACCCCGGGCCAAACCGAGTTCCCTTGCAAAGCTAGAATTCTTCACCCCTTGTGTAACTGTAGTGGGTGCTCTGGGGTGGGGAAGGAGAACAGTACCCGCCAGCTTGTACCAAGCACTTAATACTGAGTTACCGCATTCACCCTGGCAGGAACCCCACAAGGTAGGCATGTTAATCCCATCTACACATGAAGGAACCAAGACTCACAAAGGCTGCCCAGGATCACAGGGCCCTCAAGTGGTAGAGCCAGGATCTAACACAGAAGAAACCTGTGCAAATCCAGATCTTAGGCCTTTTAACCCTGCCAGGAGAGACTGGGACGGAGCCCACAGTGCTCCGAGATAACTTGTTGCACAAAGTGTTACGAAAACAAAGGGCATGGGCATGGTAACCTGGGGACCAGGCCAGGTCAGTCACATCCTGAGCAGGGGACACAGGGGGCAGGAAAGAACCCAAATCTCAAGAATGACAAAATTCACAAATCCCTCCCACGCCAGGTGGGAGGACTCGAGGCTTCTGCACTCACCGGCAGTTTAGTGAGTGGCGCATTGCTGACATGTTTGCCAAAAACTTCTTCCTGAAATTGTAGCAACTGTACAACCAGGCTAGACAGCGACTTGTTGGTGGGTGGTTCAGCTTGGATATACTAGAGGAACGGAGAAAGCAAAGGGAAACAGACCCCGGATAAATTGTCTACCACCTCCAAATTTCTTCCCTAGGGGCTGGAAGAAGCCGGGGCAGAGAAAATAGTGCTTTTCTCCCCCACGTGTTTTCGTCCCTATAAAGAAAATGGTGGAAGGGTGGCCCTGGAAACCCCTAACCAGGAAGTTGAAATTCTGCCGCCACCAGCTGTGGCTGCCAGTGCAGGGTGTTGTGGGTGAGGGAAATTTCCAAGGACTCTTCCTTGAAATCTGAGTTGCCAGACCCTGTTATCTTGGCACCTGATCTCCAGCCAACAGCACTGAGGGCTGTAAAATCCTGAAGGTTTGTGGAGTTCAGGTTCTGGAAGCAATACCTTCCAAGCTGTAAGCAAGACAACAGCGCAGTTTTTGGGGAAACTGAGGGAGGCCACGATTCCCCGCTAATGTAGTCTAATGGGAAAAGTTGCAGAGAAGAGAAGATAGGCCGGCGGCCCAAGAGTGAACATGTGAGCTGTGCTTCTGCTAGGAACCGGGCGTCGATGTCTTCCGAGACAGGAGAGCCCACTCCTCCCCAGCTTGTGAGACATCATCTACCCTTTCCGAGGAAACCGGACCCGAGCCAGGCAGCCCTAGGCCTCCTGTGAACACTATCAGCATCCCAGCCTGCCATCCTAACTGAACTCAGAGCCAGGAGGCTAACTCTCTCTTTACCTTCTGACCCCTGTTTCCTCCACCCTAATCACAGGGCAGACAGCACTACTCAGTGGGAGGTAGAAGGAGCTCACAGAAGGGGAAGGTGGATGACAAAGAGCAGGAAAGCTGAACCGGGTCACAGGCTGTCAATTCTCCCCCCAGGGCCCTAGGCCCCTAACTCATCTCCCTCCAAAAGGTCAGAGGTAAAGCCTGGGAACCAGAGCCCCACGCTGGGCTGCAGGCAAGCCACAGACTCAGCAGCTGTCAGGATTCTGACACCCAGGGAGACCCCCCTCCGTGCAGGGCCACGCTCAGAACCACGGCTAGGGAGGCCCTCCTAAACCATCCATCCCACTTCTGACAGGCCACAGAGGTGTGCAGGAAGACCCCGGGTGCTGAACGCAAGCCAGGAAGAATCCTCAACTGGAGCTGAGTGAACAGGGACACGGGGCAGCCCATCTCCAGGGAAGCACCAGGCCCAAGACAAAGACACCCAAGACAGGTGAGGCTTCTGGAACCTTTTTGTTGGCTACCTTAGGATTTCCGTTACAGGCTAGGGGGGTGAGGGGCTAGGGCTATAAAGCTGATCCAAGCCTCTGGACCCCAAGCCCCGGGCAGCGCCAGGCTGGGCTGTGGGGTGACTTCATTGTGAAGCCCAGGAGCTCCCGGACCCCGTCTCCCTGGGAGGTTTTGTTGCCCTTCGGATGGAGGGAGACAGGTGATCCCGGGGTGGGGACCTCTTTCGGGGCCCCGCGGCTGTTTACCCCGCTGCCTCGCTCATCTCTCTCCGGACACACACAAAGCACCGGAGAGGCCTCGGCCCCGCCGCTACCTGGCTCCGTGGGGAGCCGGGGCGGGCACGCGGGGCCGCGGGGAGGGAGCCCGCTCAGCACCCGGCCCACCCTAGGCCGGTCGTCTCCCCCCGGAAAAGCAGAGAAGGCGACGGCTCAGGGGGCGGGTGGGCTGCCGGCACCGGGGCAGCGGAGAAAAACAAGGGGCAGAGGGCGCAGCCGTGCGGGCGGGGGCTGGGATCCGCGGCCGGGGTGGGGGTGCGAGAGGCTGGGGGAGGGGCGCGGGCCCGCGGGGCGCTGTCCGGGAGGCCGCGGGGGAGGGGCCAGGGCGGCTGGAGGGTGGGCAGGACCCCGGGGGGCCGCGGGGCCGCGGGGCCTTTGTCCCGCCCCCGGACCCCGCGCGGCCCTGCCCGCGTACCTTCTTATAGTTCTTGCCGAGCCACAGCCGCACGTTGTCGAACTGGGTCACGGTGTCCGCGGCCTCGTAGTACTTCACGTTGGGGCCGCCGTCCTTCTTCCGCACCGCCATCTTCTCGGGCTCGGGCCCCGCCGCCGCCGCCGCCACCGCCGCCCGCCCCGCTCAGCTCAGCTCCCGCCTCCTCCGCCTCCTCCTCCGCCCGCCTCCCGCCGCCTCCCGCCGCCGCGGCCGCCGCCTCCCGCCGCCTAGGCCGGCCCCGGCCCGCGCAGCGCCCCCTGCCGGCAGGCCTGGTGCGGCGGCCGCGGCGGCGGCGGAGGGCCCGGCGCTGGGCCGACTCGGGTGGCCTCCCTGACAGGGGCGGCGGCCGCCGCGGGAGCATCCGGGGAGCTGGCTGCTTCCCGGAGGGGGCGCCACTCTCCTAAAGCCGTTCTCTACCCGACGCGAAGCCCGTTCCCTCTTTCTGGCCTCTGGGCCCCGCAGTGGACCCCTTTCTCCTACCCCACCGGGACCCGCAGCCCGGAGTGCCCTCCCCTTGCGCGTTTCCAGCCCCGCCGAGGAGCCCGTGATCCCTGAGTGTTTCCCTTTCGCGCATTCCCCAGGAGCTCCCCTTCTCAACTCTCACCGAGTCTCCCTCAGCCTCGCGCCTCGTCCCACCCGGTAGCTCCTTCTCACTTCTCCCGAGAAGCCCCCCCGCCGCCGCCCTGGGGACCCAGTCCCTCCCCTCAGCGCCTCCTCCACAGGCCTCGCCATCTCCCTCCATGTAGCTTTGCGCTCCTTGAGACCCTAACACTTCTCTATAGGCAGGGGATCCTGCCTGTCCGGGTCACTCGGCCCATCCGCTCTTCTCTGAGCGACGTGGACGAGAGGTAAGGGGCGAGGGGTGGGAGGCCCGCGGTGTGCGCGCCCGGCCGGGGGCCGCTTCCGGGCGCCGCGCGCTCTCCCCGGCGCAGTGCGGACCCCTCCTGTAAGCGCGCGGCGAGGAACGGTTTTGGGAGTCACGGTGGCCGAGTGGTTAAGGCGTTGGACTCGAAATCCAATGGGGTTTCCCCGCACAGGTTCGAATCCTGTTCGTGACGGTTGCGTTTTTTTCCCCCCCTTTGCAACATGCAGAAAGGAACCCCAGCCCTCGCACGTGTCTTTCCTGCACTTCCCCTTTCTGTCTTTGGAGGGAAGCTGAAAGGGCTCACCCCCGGGCTGTGGGAGGGGGTGGGGGTGAGCTCAGAAAGCGGATTTCGGCGAGGCGCTGGCGGATTCGGCACCTCGCGCTTTGCCGGCGGAGCTTTGAGCACGCGTTTTGTTTTGTTTTGCTTTTGGGAGGAGATTAGCGAAATGTGGTAGAAGAAAGGTTTTTGTTTGGGAATGTGAGTGCCTGGCGTGCAATAAATAGCCAAACCCGGAATTTCCACGAAAAGAGCGCGCCTCTGGTGATTTTCGTCACCAGAAGTCGTAGGCTTGGCATTTCCTTGTGCTATACCTCAGGTATCCCGGGGCACAGCACAGCACAGCACAGCACACCTACCTGGAGCCAGGTGTGCGAAGAGAGCTGTCACTTTTTACTGGGTGCCCGTCATGTACCGGGTACTCTTGCAAGTCCTCCGTGTGTATTAACCGCGCTAGGAAGTCACTCTCCGACCTCTCTGTTCCCCTCACCCAGCTCTTCCCAGCCCCTCACATGACTGGGGAAGAGCTAGGGGACTCGTTGAGGATGCTCTTTATGTACTTTATTTCCTGCATAACGGCATCTTCAAGAAGGACACGATAGCGCAGGGGCGCCAAGAGCTTTCTACACATGCGCACCTTAGAGCTCACGCCCACCCCCCCATGCCGCTGCCCAGGCCACAACACTCTCACCCCTGCCCCCGCCCCTCATCCTTACCACTATCCCACGGTCTCCCCGTCTTTTTTTTATTTTTATTTTTTTAAATGAAGTCGGGCAGACAGCTTTCCCAACTGCTGGTTCACTCCCATAAATGCCCACAGTGGGTGGAGCTGGGCCAGACCAAAGCCAGGAGCCCAGTATTCAATGTGGTCATCCAGCTGGGTGGCAGGAACCCAATTACGTGACCCATGGCTGCTGCCTTCGAGGGTCTGGATTAGCAGGAAGCTGGAGTCGGAAGCTGAAGCCAGTATTGATGTGGGCATCTTGATTGCTAGGTCAGATGGCCGCTCCTGGCCCCTGTCCCTTGGTGTGCTTACTCATTCCAGCTGCAAGCTGTCAGACTCCCACCAGCACCCACTGAGTCACATGAAAGGCAGCTCCCTTCACATACCCCACCAAAATAAAAAGTTCTGGGGGTGGGCTTTTGGTGCCACACTAACTTCCTCTTTAGATGCCCACTTCCCTGTACCAAAGTGCCCAGGTTTGAGCCCTGGCCCTGCTGCCCATTCCAGCTTCCTGCTAATTTACACCCTAAGAGGTGGCTGGCCAGAGGTCAAGAAGTTGGAGATCCAGACTGAGTTCTTGGCTGGAGGCTTCAGCTCTTGGCTGGTGGCTTCAGCCTGGCTCAGCCTTGGCTCTTGTGTTTGGGGAGTGAACCAGCAGATAGCAGATCCTTCCCTCTCTGCTTTTCCAATAAATAAATTTTTAAAAAAAGTTTATTCTACTTTCTAGGTAGATATGTCAGATCTGCCCACTTTTATGGGGGTGAGTTCAGGCTGGGCGTAGTACTTGTGAGAGCCTCCACGTGGAAAGCCGTGTTGCTCATCGGGATGACATGAGGTGGGTGATACATGCAGGGCTGTCCCACAGCTTCTGCTACTCCAACTCTCACTGCGTGATCCCTCCCCTTTTCTCCCACCATTCCTCCACAGTCGTCACATTCCAGCCACTGGCATTCTTTCTGTTCCTGGTACAGTTGTTTGGCCTTGTTCATGCTGTTCTCGGCCTACACTAATCTTTCTCAGCCTCACCTTGTACTCATCTCCACCAAAACGTTTTCTTGGGAAGTCATCTCTGGCCCCCTGTGTCCCAGCACATATTAGGCCTGATTTTATCATGAGAGCTCCTTCCACTGTGACACATAGAAGCCTCTCAATCTTTAGAACTGTGTCTTTGTCTTCTCTACAAGGCCTTCTACACAGATGTGAGCAAACGTGTACTTAAGAGAATATAGTGGATTAGTACTTTGGCACATGATTTCAGATTTAAATATCTGGAAGGCCAAGACCAAAACTGACCAGCAGAGGGCACCCAACAACTGTTCTGTGAAAGAGAGAAAGCTCTGCAGTTTACAAAATGGAGGACCTGGACAGAGAGTGGGAATGTGGCGGAGGTAGTTTGGTACTTGAAGATCACCCTTCTCACTCTTAAATGCTGCCCTTGACACTTTGGCGGGGTTGGGGAGTGGGCGGACAGTAAGAGGCCACTTCTTCCAAAGTTCATGAACAATCATTTTACACCTCTGCCATCCTCAGGGCCCACTCCAACTCAGTTCCTTCACCCTTCCCCCTGCATCCCCTCATATCCTGTCCTCTGACCTCTCCTTACGGGATCCTCCCCTGCCCCCAGCCTTTTTTTTTTTTTTTTTTTTTTTGGCCAGGCGGAGTGGACAGTGAGAGAGAGAGAGACAGAGAGAAAGGTCTTTCTTTGCCATTGGTTCACCCTCCAATGGCCGCCATGGCCATTCAAAGGCAGGAGCCAGGTGCTTCTCCTGGTCTCCCATGGGGTGCAGGGCCCAAGCACTTGGGCCATCCTCCACTGCACTCCCAGGCCACAGCAGAGAGCTGGACTGGAAGAGGGGCAACTTGGACAGAATCTGGCGCCCCGACCGGGACTAGAACCTGGTATGCCAGCGCCGCAGGCAGAGGATTAGCCTATTGAGCCATGGCACTGGCCACCCCCAGCCTTTCTTACACATTTATATCCCGCCCACTGGCAACTGTTCCTGCAACAGTATTTGGTCTTGCTCATCTTCCCTGAAGTCCCACTCAGTTCAACCTCCTGAGGAACATCCCATAAATATCCTTCCTGAACGCCGTCAAGTTCGCCTCCTCCACTGGGTCAGTCCTTCATGAATTCAGAACAGAACCCTACCTTCATCAGATGTCTCCCAGCCACCACACTGTTGTACTTCCTTTTACTTTTCAAATAAAATGTATACCTTTCTACATCCCTTGTGCTACCTTAATGCCTTGTCATCTGATTTCCACCTCCTAAATTTTTCACAATAGAAACCATCAGACAGCGGCTGGCGCTGTGGCATAGCGGGTATAGCCGCCGCCTCCAGTGCCTGCATCCCATATGGGCGCCAGTTTGAGTCCTGGCTGCTCCACTTCCAATCCCTGGGAAAGCAGTAGAAGATGGCCCAAGTCCCTGGGCCCCTGTACCCGCGTGGGAGACCCGGAAGAAGCTCCTGGCTCCTGGTTTCGGATCGGTGCAGCTCCGGCCCTTGTGGTCAATTGGGGGAGTGAACCAACGGATGGAGGACCTCTCTCTCTCTCTGCCTCTCCTTCTCTCTCTGTGTAACTCAAATAAATAAAAAAAAAAAAGAAAAAAGAAACCATCAGACAAATGTAATAGCCTCTTCTCAAGCTCTGTCCTTTGCCACGTTTGAGACCTTTGGTTTCTACTGGCTGCTAGAAACACTGTACTGTTCTTCCCAGAAGTTTCTCCACTTCATTTGCTTTTTCCCTCCTCCTGTAGAATTCAACCAAAACATTTATTCTCTCAATTTCTTAAAAAAAGGAGATTTAGGCCGCGCCGCAGCTCACTAGGCTAATCCTCCGCCTAGTGGCGCCGGCACACTGGGTTCTAGTCCCGGTCGGGGCGCCGGATTCTGTCCTGGTTGCCCCTCTTCCAGGCCAGCCCTCTGCTGTGGCCCGGGAGTGCAGTGGAGGATGGCCCAGGTGCTTGGGCCCTGCACCCCATGGGAGACCAGGAAAAGCACCTGGCTCCTGGCTCCTGCCATCGGATCAGCGCTGTGCGCTGGCCGCAGCGCGCTGGCTGCAGCGGCCATTGGAGGGTGAACCAACGGCAAAGGAAGACCTTTCTCTCTGTCTCTCTCTCTCACTGTCCACTCTGCCTGTCAAAAAAAAAAAAAAAAAAAAAAGGAGATTTATTTTTATTTATTTGAAAGGCAGAGTGGCAGACACAGATTTTTTTTTTTTTTTTTTTTGACAGGCAGAGTGGACAGTGAGAGAGAGGGACAGAGAGAAAGGTCTTCCTTTGCCGTTGGTTCACCCTCCAATG